ATTACATGACCGGTGTGTGTGTGTGTGTGTGTGTGTGTGTGCGCGCTGTAACAATTCTAACTTTGGGCACAGGTCATCAGTCCCTCCGACGCATTTGTAATTTTGAACAGTCTCAGAATGAATGGGCGTTAAGTGAGGACTCTTGGAATTGTTTAAGGCTGCCAGCAGGAGAAAAAAAAAGAGAGAGAAAATGGGTGTCATTTTCCAGTTCCTGGAGTGTGTGAATACAAAACCCCAATTGTCCCTTTTCCGGAAATGCTCACTTTCGGTTGAAGAAATGCTTTAATGTGACATAATCAGATCATCTGACCTTTTGATTTCCCTGCAGGCGTGCATGAGAGATATCCCCACCTGCAAATGGCTTGACCAGTGGACGGAACTAGCTCAGAAGTAGGTCATTGATGCCCTAAATTACAAACTCTGCCTGGGGTCACTTTATTCCTTCCTCTTTCTGTTTGAGGCACTTTCGTTGGTGTTCTTATTCTGGCAGGCTTTAATTAATGGCTTTTTTCCTTGACAGGTTTGCATTCCAGTATAATCCGTCCCTCCAGCCCAGAGCCCTTGTGGTCTTCGGTTGCATTAGCAAACGGGTGTCACATGGACAGATAAAACAAATCATCCGGATTCTGAGCAAGGTGTGTCTTTCGGCTTTGTCTTCCCGGAACTTACTTTCTTTTCTTCCTCCTGCATTTGCATACAGGCAGTCGGGACCAGAATTTCCAGTATTACGCAAGATAGTTGTTAAGTGAGTCATGCCCAATTTTATGAGGGTTTGTGGTTAAACAGGTCATTGTATTTGTTAAGTGAATCATGTGGTTATTAAGTCAATCCAGCTCCCCCCATCGACTTTGTTTGACAAAAGCCGGATTGGAAGGTCCCATATGGCAGTCACATGACCTCGATATCGTAAATACGTGCCAGTTACCAATCACCCAGATTTTGATTACATGATTGGAGATGCAGTAACAGTCATAACTGCAAGGACTGATTGTAAGTCATTTTTTCACTGCCATTATAACTTTGAATACTCGTTAACCGAATGCTTCTAAGTTGAGAACCATTTGTACTGAATCTAACACTGAGTGGAACAAGTGGGTTTCCCCCCCCCCCTTCATGCTCTGGAGCATGAGAAATTTTACCATAGGTTGTTGTCAATTTTCCCCCCCTCCATCTTCCCTGAGTCTTTATGCTACCTGGGTTCAGGTAGGTGCTGGGGCTCAGGACCCTGGACAGCACCCGTTTCGTTTCGTTTAGATTTATTTATAGGCCGCCCTTTTCCCTGAGGGGACTCAGGGCGGCTTACAATCAAAAAAAG